TTTCCTTACACCCCACACAGCCATCAACACAGGAGCTCACACTTAGGGTGCTTCAAGAAACAGCTTGAACAAATGGAAATTCTCTTACTCCTCTCCAGCTGATGGGCTTCAGAATCTTGCGGGGGCGGCGGGGGGGGGGGTGGATCTCACCTCCCATGGCACACCCACTGGCCATTTGCTCCATGGTGCCCTGGGAGTTGGCCAGGAAAGTAGAATCTGGAGGCCAGAGTCTGACATGAGCTTGGCTCCAGGATCTGAGCCCAGTTCCTCCAGCACTTGCCTTGGGGTCACAATGGTGGGATGCACCAGAGGACCCCTCAGCACACACTCCAGACATGCGCCATCGCCAAACATGGGTCATGAGTCTTTTTCCAGTGGTTAGAGAACAAGAGTGTGGTGAGGTTCCACCACTGGCTGACCACAGGAAAATCCAGAGGTTTTCTGGAGCCATTTCCAACACTGGTTGGCATCATGAGTAGAGATGGGAGAGGAGGATTCAGGATTAATGTGTAGAGGCTTCCAGGGAACAATGCATCACCGTTGTTTGCACTTAGACCTTTCCTTCCCCCATTTCTCTTTGGATGTGAACCTGGGTTATTTCTGTGATTATAGAAGAGGATACATTTACTGTGCTGAACATTTAGGACCGTAAGTGCCAAGCTCTTGGGGGTACACTTGAAGCACGACTTGCAGAGCAGAGCAATGCAAATATTACCAGCTGTGCAGTCACAAATGAGTCCCCAAACTTCTTTTAGGTCTCAGTATTCTTCTATGTATAGGGTTGAAAGGGTTATATGAGATAATGCTTGCAAAATACCTATTATGTGCCAAGGACTCTGACAAGGACTTTAGATGCATGTTGTTTGTGATGACCTGCTGGGGTTGAAGCTGAAGTTGTAACTAAATCGATGTTTGCAAAAGACTGTCTGGGTTGAAAATGGTGAATCCATTCTTGGGTGAATCCCAAGCCTATGGATTGATTTTGTAGGATGCTCTCCAGGCTTGATGATTTAGGACACTGAGAATTGCTGTGGATTGAATAGCTGCTGCTCACCTTATGTGGTTTATTTAATTTAGTCTCTTCACCATTTTGTTAATGAAAATAACTTAATCCAAGGAGGTCTTTTCAGTTTACATGATTTTCACACAGATTGTTGTATCTGCAATAGGGTGGGAAGTGTATGAGTGTGGGTGGATTTAAAGTAAAAATTGACCCAAGTTAGTCTGTTGGGAATGTTGTGATACATGGTTCCTTTACTGCCTAATCAGAAACCTCTAAAGCCCTCAAGTCTTCTTCTTTTTTTATAACTGCTGAGCACAAAATGAATTATTCAAAGACCAGTGATGTAGATTGACCTGAACTCGTTAGAGCCCGAGACCATGAGATCATTTCTGAGGATTTATCAGCCCTGCTTGCAGCCCAGAGTCCATCCTTGGCCCTGATAATGGGCTGGAGAATGCGTTGGCTCCAGAATGCTGACCTCTAACATCCTCTTTCCCTGGGCAGGCTCTACCTGCATACCAGTGAATACCAGCTCCTTGGGGAAAGGGTTCAGGAGCAGAGAGACTGTATAAGCCCATGGATTTGGCATCTTGCCCCAGGCACAGCCTTGTCGGAGGAGCTGAGGCCTGTGTAGGCTAGGACAGAGCAAGGCGGGTACTTGGGGCTTCCACCTCCTCAGGGGCCCACCCAGGACCATTCTCCCTTCTTCTCCTGCATTTTGTTTGGGATGCCACTACTCCCCAGTCAGATTCAGAAGGTCGCCTTATCCCCAGCTACAGTGATAAATTCCAGTAGATCTAAGCCAGTGGTTCTCAACCCTGGTTTCACATTAGAACCATCTGGAGAGCTTTAACAAAATTCAGAGATCGGGAACTAAACCCCAAGAGCCTAGAGCATGTCACGACCTTGACATCACCTGGAAGCTTGTTAGAGAAACAGACCCTCAGGGCCCACCCCAGAGTAATGTCAGAATCTCCAGGCTGAGAGAATAACTAACTTAACTGGTCCAAGCTAATCATGGTGCAGCAGACTGTTTTTCAAAGGTGGTTGCTACCACAGATCCCATCTCTCATGCGTTCCTCTGACACTCCTCACATCTGAGATAGGGGGATCTATGTTCTCTTCCCTATAAAGCTGTGTGGTCTGTGGATTATGATGGAAATGACGTTAGGTAACTTCAGAGGTTGCTTCCAGAAAGGCAATGAAGCTTCTCACTCTTAAAAGCAAGCTGTCACCCTGCGAGGAAGACCAGGCCTTAAGAGACTATGCATAGGCATTCTAGTGACAACCTTAGCTGAAGTCCCAGTGGACACCAGTTGCCAGACCAATAAGCAGGGAAGCCTTTGCAATGAAAGCTACTGTCTGATTGTAACTGCCTGGGAGATCCCGAGTGAGAACCGCCTTGCTGAGCCCAGCCAGCCTCTAAAGCTGTCAGAAATAATCATGATATGATTGTTGCTGCCTTAAGCTACTAAGTTTTGGGGTAATTACTTATGTATTAATAGACAACTGGCACACATGGCCACCCTGTTCCCCTTGCCAGATGGTGGTTTAGGAATGGGCATGTGACTTGGTTTTGGCCAACGAGACATGACATGAAGTCTGCTGGGGTTGCTACTGGGAAAGTTATCTTCATTCCTCAGAAAAACACAGAGAAAAAGACCACTGTTCTCTTCCCTCTGATGCTGTTGGGTCTCAATAGAATGCTTGGAATCACTGTTGCCATCTTGCTACCAACTCGAGGACAAAGGTGGCAGAGTTCTGCCTTCCTCCTTCTCTCCTGTCTCCCCACTGCTACTGCTTGCTGTGTGCACTCCATTATGGAGAAATCTTAGTCTTCCTTGGGGTACCCCAAGATTCTGATCTCTTAGCTAAATTCCACATTCTTTTTTCTTAATTTTAGTTTTTTGAGGTGAAGTCTCACTCTGTCACTCAGGCTGGAGGGCAATGGCATGCTCTCGGCTCACTGCAACCTCCACCTCCCAGGTTCAAGCAATTCTCCTGCCTCAGCCTCCCAAGTAGCTGGGATTACAGATGTGCACCACCATGCCCAGCTAATTTTTGTATTTTTAAGTAGAGACTGGGTTTTACTATGTTGGTCAGGCTGGTCTCAAACCCCTGACCTTGTGATCTGCCCTCCTCAGCCTCCCAAAGTTTTGGGATTACAGGACTGAGCCACCACACCCAGCTAAATTCCACATTTTTTGGGGGTGTTGTCTGGGTGCCTCCATTAGGAGGCAGGGGCAGGGGCAGGGAGGAATCTGAATTTGGTTGCACTTAGCTTGTAAAAGTTACCACCTCTAGAGTTGGGGATAGTGTCTGGGGACAGAGCCTGATGAGGTGATTGTATCTATACTCCCCCATTATAGGAATGAAAAGACAGAAATCTTGAGGGCTACTGGTAACACACAGAGGGTGCAGCAGCATCTATTGAGAACTCAGTCCTCTGAATCAGCAGGGCAGAGATCCCATGCATGCAAATCTTCAATGGCAGGGCCACCCAGGCAGAAAAATCTTAGCCCCACAGTGAGAAGACAGGGAGTCCCAGCTTCACACACCAGAAAGCAGAGGCAGGCCCAGAAGGATATGACATGTCCAAGGTCACAGAGCAGAGGTCCAGGAGCCTGGTTCAGGGCTGTGAGACTCCAGAGACCTCAGCTCTGCCAGTACCAAGGACATGAGGCCCCAGCACCTGTCTCGGGAGATGTGGATGCCCGAGGGGCACCTGTCTGGTTCATATCAGCTCATCTGCATGCCTGGAACCTAAAAAGCAAAGGCAGTCCTGGTGGGGGCTCTGGCTGGCTCCAGCTTACCACCCTCCACCCCCCGTGGTGGTGACCACTGAGCCCTGTCTCTTCTATGGCACCTGGAGCAGCTGCTGCTGCCATGGGTGAACCCACACTCACAGTGCTAGCCAGGCCCCAGGCACAGGTGCATTCGGCAGAATCCACTCACCCATTCACTTGTGCAGCCACTCCCTACACAGAGTGCTGTGTTCCAAAGGCGGGTTAACTTCCGAGTGTCGCATGAGCATATGAGAGTGGTTCCCTGCATTGGGGAGAAAGTCAAGACATGGGGAGCTGCCAGTGGGTCCTGGTACCCAAAACCCAGGCAGCTGGGGAAGGAACAGAGTCCAGGCACCAACTGCTCAGGCCTTAGGTGGAATGAGGCTCCCCTGGCCTCCGCTGTCCTTTCTCCACTTACCATGGTTGGTTTTATGTGTCAGTGTGGCTGGGCCACAGTGCTGCCCAGATATTTGGCCAAACATTTTTCTAACTGTCCCGTGAAGGTGTGTCTTGGACGACACTAACATTTAAATTGGTGGACACTGAGTAAAGCAGTTACCTTTGCTAATAGAACAAAGGCTGACCTCCCCTGAGGATCTGCCCACATCTGTCCTCAAAAAAAAAAAAAAATTTATCACTAGAAAAAAATACACAAAAAGAGCCGATTTTTGTGTTTCTTTTCTCTCTCTTTAACTCTTACATGCACTCCAGTGACAGAGCAAGACTTATCTCAAAAAAAAAAAAAAAAATAGTGAGTTCTGGGGGGGGGGGGTGGTAACCAATGTCAGATTGTTCCCTCTTAATGGCTGGTTACCCCAAGTCCTTTTATTCCATAATTCATGACACTTGGGTTTATTAGTCTACCCTTCCCATCTTTTTCCCCCCCACACTGCTTGAGGAAACAAAAGATCAGAATGCGTATTGGAGAAGAGACCCTAATTTATGATTTCTGAGTTGTTTGAACATGTTCATGTTTGGTAAAAATCCTGATTGAGGAGAGGCTGCAACTAGGTCCTGATTCTGAGATGAATCTGTAGACAGAAAGGAAATTGTGATGGTGGTGTAATGATTGACACATTCATCCACCCCAGTGAGGGGAAAAACGGCCCAGAACCTGTTCCTAAGATTCGCATAAACCACATCTTCCCAGGGTAAGGGCTCCTTCATTCAGCAGCTCAGCATCAGGTCAGTAAAGACCAAACCTAGTGATGTCTGAGTCTACAGCCAGCTTGTACTTAGGAGTGGATTCCATTTTTTCCAGGTACACAAAAAACCAGCCTGGCAGTGACAGAGAAAGAGTATTGTAGAGAGACAAAAGTGCAATTAGGTGCTAATTACATTGACGAAAATTGGAGTAGAGCTTACCTAAATGATTGTCCAATTTGGAAATGCTATCTGACTGTCTCCAAGCACAAAACTGATTACCTTACTTTGTTGGGGGAAGAACATGGTTTTGGTAGTATTCTGTAAACAGTAACGGAAGAGTACAACCATCATTGCGAGGGTGCCAGTGGAGAGGGAGGGGGCTTCGCAGCTATCAGTTTATAGGCCAGCACTGAAAAGTCACATACAAAAGCAACAGGGAGCCTCCCACATGAGGCTGAATCATTGGAGTTGTGGGTGGGTGGGAGTGGAGTGGGCTTGGAACCCATTTAGGCCAAGCCCCTCAGGGCTGAATTGGGACCAGAATTGGCTTATCTTTACCCTCTCCCATGTTGCCAGACAAATGGAAGAATCCAGCAACAGAATAGCTGTCTTTCCTAAATTCATTTGTGGAATGACCCCCACCCCCATTAACTCAGAATATGGCTGTATTTGGAGATGGGCCCTTTAAAGACGTTATTACATGAAAATTAACCACCAATTAATTGGGGATGGGCTCGAATCCAATCTGACTGGTGTCCTTATCAGAAGAGGGAATTTGAGGCCGGGCACGGTGGTGCAAGCCTGTAATTCCAGCACTTTGGGAGGCTGAGGTGAGTGGATCACAAGGTCAAGGGATCGAGACCATCCTGGCCAACATGGTGAAAACCTGTCTCCACTAAAAATATAAAAATTAGCAGGGCGGGGTGGCGCGTGCCTGTAATCCCAGCTACTAGGGAGGCTGAGGCAGGAGAATTCCCTGTACCCAGGAGGCGGAGGTTACGTTGAGCCAAGATCGCGCCATTGCACTCCAGCCTGGGTAATAAGAGTGAAACTCCATCTCAAAAAAAAAAAAAAAAGAATTTGGACACACTGAGGGACACCAGGGACATGGGCACACAGACCATATGAGGACACAGCAAGAAATTAGCTGTCTGCAAGCCAAGGACAACGGCCTAAGAAGAAGCCAGTTCTGCCAACACCTTGATCTTGGACGTTGGTCCCCAGAACTGTGAGAAAATTGAATGTGTGCTATTTAAGCCCCCCAGTCTGTGATAGTTCATTACAGCAGCCCGGCTGCCTAGCACAACACCCCTCCAAGCCTGCACGAACCAATGTGCAGCATTCTGGACCACGCGCTGGGGCCCCTGTGTCGCCGCCGTGGCTTTGTGTTCTCAGAACCTAATGGTGTCTTAAAGAGGGCGAGAGGAGAGCTGGCACAGCAGCGACACACAGCACTGTTTTGCTACTCAAAATCTCAAAACCTAAACTGTCTAAGCTGAGCCGACACTCGGAGAGCCGAGGGGCGTGGGCGTGGCTTGCAGTAGCTTCTGTGGACTTCATGGAAGGTATTGAAACCCCCCAGCTCTGATTTCCCACCAGGAGAATGGGTGTCACACTGCCTGGTCTTCTGGAAAAATCTAATTTGCCCACGTCTGTCCCACACCCAGGAAGCAGACACTCTATATTAGGAATAAATTGGCCACCCCCTAGTGTTCACAGGCAGCCTTCGGAGAGCAGCTGGATTATCTCAAGTCTGCCTTTGTTTGAACTCAAAATGCACCAGCTGTCATCAAATCCAGCTCCAACTCCCAGGCAGCCTCTTCGAAGGCTACTTTCCTCTTAGGTGGTTTAGACGCTGTCTATAAGATTCCACTGTAGGACTTTGGTCCAGAAATACTGCGCTTGTAAGGGGACAGCATCCCCAAGGCCAGAAACAGTGTCTGGTGATAGGAACTCAGACCAGCCCAATTCTAAAATTCTCATTGTCAGAACCAGTTATTTGGGTTAAGGCATAAAAGGTTCCTGTAAAATGTCATCAAAGGGCCATACATATTAGGATGTCTTCAGCCATTAACACCTCTTTGTGACTTCATCAGTGTGGCCCCAGAGCCACTCTTAGTCCCTTAGGGCCAGGACCCAGGGCAGCTGAGTTCTGGTGGGAGGAAAGATTCACAGCCTGTGTCAGGGAGGGGAGAGGGAGAGCACAGACAGGTGTGTTGTGTGGAGGGACTCGGACGAGAAAGGAGTTCAGAAGGAACACTGCCAGCTTGATGTGTCTAAGCCAGCCAAACCTCCATATCAGAGTCACCTTTCGGCCAGACGGTGCAGATCTTGAATGTGACGGCCAAGTCATTTGGCAAGTGCGTGAGTCCAGCTGCATCTGTGTAAGGAACTTGGCATCTCAGAGCTGGCCCTGGGCTAGGGCTGTGAAGTTGAGGGTGCAGGAAGAATATACAAAGGGAACATCAGCCTCTCCTGGGCTTGCAGGGAGCAGTTGGCTTCCTGGAGCCACAGCTGTGATTGGCACTCACATGGGTGGGGCTTCTTCCATGTTCCCAGCCAATCAGCTTGCCTGCAAACTCCAGACTCCCACAACCACGCTGGGGGGGCAGTTAGAGCCCTTCTGGAGAAGCAGGGAGAGGACTGGGGTCAAGTGACAACAGCTAAGTGTGGGTGGCCTGGGCCTGTCAACCACAGGCCTGGGGCTCAGGGGTCACCTGGAGAGAACAGGCTGGGTTGCCTGGCCACCCACAGTCCAGGGATGGGGGGTGGCCAAGGCTCAGCAGGGCGAAGAGGACATCTGGTCATAGTCGGGGCACTTGAGCAAGGCAGGGTAGTTGCTGTTCATCTGCAGGGAGGCCTCGCTGGAGATCTCGGAGGGGCTGCGGCCCCTGACCCAGGCATCTGGGTGTAGGAACTGGCCCGAGTAATCGGAGCAGTTGCTCAGCCGAGGGCGGTAGAAACCGGGGTGGGGCCTGTACATGTCCTCCGCGGTGTACCGCTTCATAAACAGGTACACAGACATCACCCCGGCGCTCTAGAGGGGGAAGACAGCGGAGGACGGCTCACTGCTGGGGTCTGCACAGGACACGGCTTGAGTGGGGCGGGAAGTGGATGTGGGGACAGGGGCAGGGCCCTGGGGCCATTCCGGCTGGAGGAGACCCAGGAAGGTAAGACAGTGACACGTTCTGGGATGAAGAAAAGAAGTAGGGTGGGTGGTCCAGGGCCCAAAATGCTTGTGGAATGTCCCCTCTCCCCACTGTCCCCTGCTCAGTGGGCCAGTGCCCAGCCCCAGCCCCAGCCGCAGCCCCAGCCCCAGCCTGTCCCTGCTCGGGGATGATAGGGTTTACCTCCGTTAAAAGGAAGGAGATGGCGGCGAAGGCAAACGACCACCCATACTTGTAGTTGAAGTAGGTCTCTGCATCCTTGGTCCTGTTGAGCATCTCGTCATTGATGCTGGAAATGTAGAGCACCAGGCCCACCACGAGAGAAAGGCCTGGTTGGGCAGGTGGGGAGGGCACACTCAGCCCAGAGGTGGCACCCACCTCCCCTTGCAATTCGGGAGCAAAGTCGCCCACCTGGATGACAGTGCTGACATCGGAGCTGAAGGGAGAGCAGATGCTTGCCTCCTGAGTACCCTGTTTTGGCCAGCACCTTCTAGACAGCAGATAATTTCAGGTAAGCTCCTGTATAGCTGCCTTCCTAAGCCATGAGCTAAGCCCAGTGGTTCTCACTCTGCTGTGCATACCCGTCACACAGGCCTGAGCCCCAGCTCTGGACATTCTGACACACCTGGCCTGGGATGGGGCCCTGGCCCTGTATTTTTTTCTTTTCTTTTTTTTTTTTGAGGTGGAGTTTCACTCTTGTCACTCAGACTGGAGTGCAATGGTGCAATCTTGGCTCAACCTCTGCCTCCCGGGTTCAAGTGATTCTCCTGCCTCAGCTGGGATTATAGGTGCCTGCCACCACACCCAGCTAATTTTGTGTGTTTAATAGAGATGGGATTTCACCATGTTGGCCAGGCTGGTCTCGAACTCCTAACCTCAAGTGATCTGCCTGCCTCGGCCTCCCGAAGTGCTGGGATTACAGGTGTGCACCACTGTACCTGGCACTGAATTTTCTTAAGAGGGCTGTGAACCACTGAGCTAGGAAGTGGTTTTTATAGAACAGAAGATTAAAATAGGTCCCCTAGGCAGAGATAGCCAAGGTGGTAGGTGGTACCTATCATTGTGGAGTTCCCTTATGTGGCTTGTGGTCTGTGCAACCCACCTGACCACAAGATGTGGCCTGGCTGAGATCTCTAGGTAGGGGAGGTAAAGATAGTTTGTCCAGATTCTGGCAAGCCTTAAATTGGGAGGCCAGAGGGCACCAACCGCCTACTGCCATCATGCAAATGACTGCCTCAGGCATCAGTTCTATCAATTAGTAGCTGTAATTCAATCAAAACATAATTAATTACTCTGTTTTGAGCTGTTCAGGTTCAATTCCACTCACATTATTTTATGAAACTAGGGCATCTGGAAGGATGAATGCTAAAGGAAAATCGATGTGACTGAAACCTTCCAGGTACTTAACTTGCGTTTGAATCACTGCTGCCCTAAATGAACCCCTTTATTGTTAGCGTTGAAATTATTTCATGTGGCCCATCTCAGTCCTAGATTTCTGATCCCTAGCCTACTGCTGAAAAACCTCGTGTGTCTCAAAGCTACTGTTTACAGCCTTGGCTATCGTGAAGTTCACAAAAGGAAAAACAGAAAGCTTCACTACACTGGGTTTGTACCTCTTGGGCTATGTGGAAATATCACCATGCAAAGATTGGGCTGATGACATTGCTGGTGCTCAATAAATATGTGTTGGGTTGATGCATGGGAGGGTGGAGGGATGGATGATGGGTTGGTAGGTAGACTGAAAAATGGATGGAAAGAAGAATGGGCAGGTGGGTGGCTAGAAGGAGAAAGAGTGGCTCTAGGGCACCTGACTTTCTGACTGCTACCTGTCTCCAAAGCTATATTGACAAGAAAATATTGGGAAAAGGATCCTAAAATTACTTAGGAGTCAGGTGGTAATCAGAATGCCTGGTATCCAACAGCTGTTTTTCCTTCCATCTCCCGTCCACCCACCCATCCATCCATCCACCCACCCATTATTCAAGCCATTCACCCATCCATTTTCCATCCAAGCGTCTTCTCCCCAGGATGCCCCCTAATCAGTCAGTCAGTCAGTCCAGGGCACCTAAAATACATGCCCCAAGAGCCACTCCTTTGGCCAGAGTCATTCTCTCCAAAAGAAAAGGTCTCTATGAAAATGCGCAGGTCACCTTGAAAAGGAGAAAGAGTCTACCTTGGTTTCCCGTGTTCTTTCCCCTTCTACACACCGGCCGTGAGTAATCTCATCCATGTCCATGGCTTCCCCTCCCACTCTCTACGCTGATAACTTTCCAACCTCTATCTTTGGTCCAACTCACTCCCGTGAGCCCTAGACGCCGACCTCTGGCAGCCTTCCAGAGACTCCTCCCGGATGTCATAAGGACACCTCAAACTCAGCATTTCCCACACTAAATTTATGATCTGCCCAAATCTCCTTCTCCTGTGATCCTTGAATCAAGGATGGGATATGCCATCTACCCAGTGCTCAAGCCAGAAACTGGCACTCACCTTGACTCTTCCCTGGAAGCCTCATCCTAGTTCTGTTGAGTTTACGTCTTAAGTGTCACTCAAACCCTTTCATTTCTGTCTTCTCCACTATTAACCCCCTGTTTGGGCCATCACCTCTACCATTGGAATAGCTTCTTGCCTAGTGTCCCTGCCTCCTGTCTTTCTTCCCTCCCTCCCTCCCTCCCTTCCCCAGCACAGTCATTCTAAAATCCAAAGCCGGTCGTGTCATCCCTTGGCTCAAAATCCATCTAAGTCTTCTCATAAAATCCCAAATCCATTAGATGACCTTGGATGCCTTTCCCAGTCTCTCTTTTCACCACACTTTTCCTTGCACCTGCCATGATGAGCAATGATTACTCAGTTCCCCCAATCCTTCCTCCTCCCTCTTCCCTCCAGGTCCCTTTTCCACCCCCAGCCTCACTTCTTTGCCTAATTCCTACTCATCTTTTAGCTCGCCTCCTCCTGGTCTCCAATGACCAACCTTTGCCCTGAGTGTCAGCCACTGCTCTTGGCCTCCATCGCTGACCTTGCTGGCCACTATTCATAGTGCTACTCACACTGGCTTTCTATCTCCCATCTAGTGTTTGTATCTCCCATTATGCTGTCCTTTGTGGGCAGTGATGCCAGCAGCCAGAATAAGGCCTGGTAGGTAGAGATCATGAATGAGTGAATAAAAAGAAAAAAGAATGAAGTACAACTTGGCATCAGTCTAGGAAGACAAGTCCATGCTGAAGTGGTCTAGGAGGGCTTATGGTGTGGGTTGTGACTGGCAAGGGAAGGACAGAGCAGGAGTCTTCTGAGGACAGCTGGGGGATGGGGAAGGTGAAGGAGCCATCATTCCAAAGGCAGATTGTGTTTAATATTCATGCACAAATATGAAGACATAGCCCCTTCAAAAATAGGAGCACTCAAGATGATGGGAATTAAAAAGTCCTTATGTGTGGAGTGAGGAAGGAACCCGGGGTTCCAATCTCAGGTTTGCCCGAGGGGAGCCTGTGCCTTCACCCTTCCTGTGGAGCCTCTGTTGCTCTTCCAAAAGGTAATAATGAGCCGGGGGTCCTCAAATGTTTCCTCCGGCTCTGACTCAATTCTGTCTGGGTGACTGACAGCCTGTCCTAATTACAGGACTTCCCAATGCAGAGCTGTTTGGGAGTTAAATAGCTAAAGTTCAGGGTGGCTGGGTGCAGTGGCTCATGCCTGTAATCCCAGCACTTTGGGAGGCCAAGGCAGTCAGGTCGCTTGAGCTCAGGAGTTCGAGATCAACCTGGCCAACATGGCAAAACCTCATCTTTACTAAAAATACAAAAATCAGCCAGATGTGTGGTAGGCACCTGTAGAAGGCCGAGGCAGGAGAAGTACTTGAACCTGGGAGGCAGAGGTTGCAGTAAGCCAAGATGCCACCGCTGTACTCCAGCATGGACGCAAGAAAAGAAAACCCAACTTACCCGAGAGGATAAAGAAGATTCCAGAGACAAAGGCCAGTATCGTCCGATGGGGACGGATGTGTCCAATGTTGCTCAGGATGAACCCAATGAACATGAAGAAGAGGCTGACCAGAGGGAACGGTGTGGCTGAGCGGATCATCTCTAACGGGGCAAAAGGGCAGCCTGTCAGCCTCCAGGCCTGACTCATTCCTCCTCATCCCAAGCTGAGTGTTCCTGGGACTGTTTACCAACAGGTCTTCAAAGCCCCACCCCTGCAGGGGTTCCCCAGGCTCCACCCCATTTGGTGGCCTGGGGCCCTCTCATTACTAGCAGGACTTTTGTCTGTGAGGTGGGCCTGGAAGGTCTGACTTCAAGTGCCAGCATCTTCAGGGCCTCTGTCATTTCCTCCAGGCATAAGCTACTATCCTCCTGGGGGTCCACACTGCCAATATAGAGTCCACACCACCTGCCAATGTGGCAGCTGTGGAAGGGCCAGGTTATTCCATTTTACTCCCTTTTCCAGGCAGATTCACCATTTCCTTGGGCAAGGGGTTGTTCTGAATGGAGCAGGGGACAGTTAGAGCCTCTGTTTCTTTCAACTTGTAACTACCTGGGGAGTCTAGTCTTTGTCCCTGGTTCCTGAGAGATAACCTCTAAATTCTTGGAATTTTCCAAGGATGGGAGTGTCTTTGTTATTCAAGGTGGGTCTCAACCACACCTGAGTTTATGCTAACCAAGTGACTCAGGATGGGGACTAGAAACACCAACTGTGGGATTAGAGGACTGGGGTTTTGAGCCAGGTGATATCAGCTGGCCTCTAGGGAATGTAAGGGGCTGCGAGTGAGTTCAATGACATGTAATTAATCATGCCTATGTAATGAAGCCCAGTACAAACTCTGGACAGCAAAGATCAGTTGAGCTCATCAGTTGATGAACACATCAGTGTGTGAAGATAGTGACACATCCTGATTCCATGGGGAGAGGACTCTGAAGCTCCGCATTCAGGACCCTCCCAGACCTTGCCCTATATGTCTCTTCATCTGGCTCATCCTGATTGTATCCTTTGTAATGAAATTGCAATGGTAATTATAGCACCTTCCTGAGTTCTGTGAGTCATTTTAGCAAGTTATTGAACCTGACAGAGTCATGGGAGCTCCCACATTTGGAGCTAATTGGTCAGAAGTACAGGAGGTCAGGGACCTCTGAACTTGCAGCTGGCATCTGAAGTAAGGGTAGTCTTACTGAGGACTGAGACCTTAAACCTCTGGAGTCTGTTAACTCCAGGTGATTAGTATCAGAATTGCATTGCAATATTGCAGCTCATACTGGGGCAGAACCAACTCTGTTGAGGTCAAGGCCATGAAGTCAGACTTCCTGGGGTCCAGAGATTCAGCTCCCTGATTAATGCCTGGGGCAGTAGACTGGGAGACTCCAGCAGCAATCTTTTTTCACTACTGGAAAATTAAGCTCTAATGAACTCAGGTCAGCACACTCAGCTGAGTCTCAGGGCATTTCTCTTGAGAAATATGCTGGCATCCTGATTTTTCCCTCTACCCTGCTCCTCTCTGTCTAGCCAGTGGCCCAGGTTGCAAGACTAAAGGCACTTACTTAGAACATTGACCGTAGACTCGGATGTCAGCTGGGTGTTCATGGGCATCACATATTCTATGGTGAAGCAACGCCCCCGCTCTTCACCTGTGGAGACAAGAATCACATTTCCAGGCCTTTCTTGATCATGGATTTGAAGTTAGTCCATTCAAATGGTATTTCCAAGTGTTTCTAGGATCTTTGACCTGCTATGTCTTTGCACCTGAGCTGGATCCAAACCCTAAAGGGGTCCTGTCCCTGGCTCATGGCCCACAGCAGGGGTGGAGGCATGTCCTGATGTGACAACCTTCCTAGAGAAGCACCTCTGTGAGGATGGACCCAAGCACTGAGAGTCTTGTGAAAAGAGGTTGGCATTGCAAACTCTCCATGCTGGATGAACATCTGGTGCCATCTCATTGTGTTTGGCCACATGGGGCTGATGATGGTGCATAGCTGACTTAGATTCTCCAGTGTGGGAGTCATGGAGCAGAACTCCAGATGCCTTGTCAACCACCCTGGGAACCAGATCCTAGTGACTTCAAACTCTGCTTCAGACTGAAGCACAGACCAATGTCACACAGTCTGGAGCAGAAGTCAGAGTTGGGTGTGATTCCCATGGCTGACTCAACTCCTTCAGGTGTCTTCCCTGCTAAATACTGGTGGGAACCAATGCCCGTTCCACCCCCAAAAGCTGTGCTATCAAGCTGGGAGGGAAAAGCCTGGGAAAGCCAAATCACATCTCTTTCCAATGCACACATAAGTTACAGGGTCCTGACCACACTGTGGCCAGCCCAGGCTTGCGGCTGGTCTTGTATGACTTGGAGATGCTCTTCTTGTGCAGGCTGGTCTTGGGCCGTGATAAAGGATAGGATTCTTGAAGAGATAACTTGAAAAGTTACAGGGAATTCCTAGTGAGTAAAAAGGGAGACCCAGGAAGTGGGGTCAAAATCTCTAAGATGCTGCAGAGCTGGAGGGACCTGCTCATGTGTTTCCTTTGTGCCATTTTATGGAGGGAATAACAGAGAAACTGCCAAGTATTTTCTATTCTATAAACTAGTGGATGCCAAGGTAGCTGAGTTAAGGAGACTTAACCTCCTCGGATCTTCATTTCTGCATTTGCAAAGTGGAAATAGTAAGTCCTGTCTTGCAGTATTGTTGGGGGGATTAAATGGGATCGACAGTTCAATGAGCTAAGGCATGGAAGAGCATTTGAGATCTGTGCAAAGGCATTCTCATCCAGCCCTGTGAGCAAAGTGTGGGGAAAGCATAGTTACATTCATCTTTCAGGAGGGAATACCTGGGAGATAAAAAAAACTGGCTCAAATGGACATCCAGAATCAGGACTTGAGTTTGGAATGGGGTCTCGGTCATTTCAGGGAGCACCACCTGGCATATATGGGCATCATCCATGGTGAACTGTCTCCTCCCAGCATCTCTGGGCCATCATTCCCAGGGAGGGACCTCTTGGGGCAGGTGATGTCAGGGGGCAGGGCTGTCCCCAACCCTTGGCACCCTTACCTGCAAGGAAGCAGACCCGCCAGAGGCCCGAGTGCAGGGACATCTTGATCTCGGTGCTCTGGTTCTGGGGCACAATCACGCCCTCCTCCAGGTACAGCCAGTAGTCGGTGCTGACCGCGATACCCAGGAGGCCCAGGCCACAGACAGCAAAGACGCTGCTCAGCAGGGTCAGGGCCTTCCTCCCACAGGTACTCATCTTCCTGGACTGTTGCTGGGTGGCCAGCCGCCACGGTTCCACCAGCACGGAGTGGGCTCTGGGGCCAGGGAGAGTAGGTGAGCAGGTGGCAGTGCCCACGGCTGTGAGAAGACCAAGATGAGGAAACAGTAATTAAAGTCAACCCCCCACCTGGCTCAATGAATGGGTAAAGACCACCAGGCAACCTTCTGGGACACAAGGTCATCACGAAAGAGGTGCAACCCTCTTCCTCACCCTGCAGCAATTCAGAGCTTTCTTAGCACTCCCATTGTAGAACCCCCTTGTCTTCTCTGGGAGTCCCCTTGCTGGGTACTGCCATTCATTCATTCATTCATTCATTCAACTCATTGTGCCAGACATGGGAGATACAAAAATGAACATGACACTCTCCTTGCCATTGAAGGGTTCCCCATCTAGAAGAACAAAGGTACCCCCAAAGCAACTAAATGCAGCCCACTGAGGACTCTGGTAGAGACCTGCCCAGGAAGTAGAGAGAAAGGATGGAGGAGAGAACTCTGCTGGGTGAGCTTCTCTGTGTTGAAAAGGATTCTGAGGCTCAAATACCCTCTGAAAGAAGCCAGCTCCAGACAGGGAACTGTCAGCAGCCTTGGGAAGGAGCAGAGGAGCAGGGAAGACTTCTTGGAGGAAGGGGTCTTCCTCATGTGACTTGAATCAGTTGCAGAACTGGGTCAACACAAGAAGCCACACCACGGTCCCAGTGTGACAGCCTCCTCAATCCACCTAATCAGAAATGGGCTGACTCTTGCCTGCCCAGCACACACTATTTGCAGGGGCCAGCTCTGAACGAGAAGAGAAGCTAAGTGTCTATGCAAGGTCAACCACAAGCCCCACCTGCTGATATCTGCCAGGGTCAGGCACTGGACTTGGAGCTAGAAAACAGTGGAGAGCAAGGCAGATGGATGCCAGCCCCCATGGAGCCCATAGCTAGCTTCAGGGCTTCTATGCTCTGGCTGCAATCTAGAAGCCCCCTAGGGAGTGTCTAAAAAAAAATCCATGATTCCCACTCTCACTCCAAGAGATTCTGATACAATTGGACTCAAGTGGGGCCTGGAACAATTGGTCTTTGCTGCTCAAAGGATAGTTCATGGACCAGCCACATGGGCATCACCAGAGAGCTGGTTAGAAAAATAGACACTCTGTCCTCTCTGACTCTCTAAATTGAAATCTGCATTTTAACAGGATCCAGGTGAGTTGTCCGCCTACTAAAATCTGAGAAGTGCTGTGCCAAGCAAACAGGTGATGGCATTGTAATGTAGCAACTGCTATGGGAAAAGCGCAGGATGTGACAAAGGCCAAGAAGGGGTAATCCAGTGAGGCTGGAGGGAGGAGGCAGAGCCATCTCTAGAAGTGGATGGGGAGTTGGGCAACTCAGAAAGCTGGTATCACCCAAGCCAGCCATGGCTGCAAGTTTGCTCCCTATTAGCATCTTTCAATGGCCCCTTGCCATATGGCAAAGTCAGAACTTTCGAAATGGGATGTTAGTGATGTTAAGGAAAGAAGCACAATGGTGCTTTGGTGCAGTTCATCAATATCAGGGCTCCAGTGGTGTCCTAGGGCCCTACCCCAGGGATGGTATCATGTCCCAGTTGAGATCCAAGGCACAGGTGGATATTGAGACAGCTGAAAAGGGACAGAAGCCAGATTTGTCTGCAGAGTCTGAGTTGGCTATAGGAGAGGGGGAAGAGATTAGTCTGTTTTTGAGAAGGGGTCGGGAGCTGTGCAATGCCATAGTGCTGACCCTGCCCTTCCCAGAAGTTGATCATGGGAAAAGTTGATTGATCTACAATCCACACATTGGCTTCCTGGAGGCATGTGTGTCTGTGTCCATGTCTGCAAGGCTGGAGAGCACAGGGCTTTAAGCCACTGTGATCCTTCCTGTGTCGGCTTTGATAAAGGAGGGAGAAATGAAACACCAAACAGCCCTCTCCACCCAGCCAAGTCATTCTCCATGCAAGAGGGTGGGCAGTGGAGCAGGACAGCTTGTATCTAGTAAAGCACCTATAAACCCTGTGCTTGCAGTTGTGGAAGAGGTGACAGAATCAGAGGTGTGGCCACCTGCAGAGTTCTTGAGCTGGAAAGATGGGAAACTACAGCATCCCGTTCTGACTGAGGGTGGGGAGGTGTCACAACAGGCAGAACCCAGGTCCTGAGGAAGAGGAGCCAACTCCTAGCAGAGGCCCAGGGCAAGGCTGCTGCTGATTGGTGGAAAGCAATAGTGACATCGTAATGATGGTACTTTTATATTAATACTAGTAGTTAGCCACACGCTGTCACTTACACTTGAAACTCACACAGCCCCAACATCTGCCAAAGGAAGTGGAATTGAAACCCCAAGGATGGTTAGCAGGGGTAAGGGGAGGAGTGGAACACAAAGTCATATGGCTCCCAACGGTGAACAGAGCCTTGAGCTTACTCTCAGCCCTTCCATAAAGCTCCATGTAAAGCTGGGAGATTAACCTCTGTGCTATAGTTTGGATACGGAGGTTGGTTTGTCCCCACCAAAGCTTATGTTGAAATTTGATCCTCAATGTGGCAGTGTTGGGAGGTGGGCCTGGTGGGAGGTGCCTGGGGTCATGGGATGCCTCAGGAATGGCTTGGTGCTGTTCTCAGGGTGGTGAGTTCTCACTCTCGAAGACTGGATGAGTTTGAAGGGTTGCATTAGTTCCCTCAAGGCTAAGTTGTTATAAAGCCTCGAATTTCCTCCATTTGCTTCTTGCCCTTCTCTGCTGTGTTGTGATGCCACACAAAAGGCCTTACCAAGGGCCAGGGGTATGCCCTTGAATGTCTCAGCCTGCAGAACCAAGAGCTAAATAAACCCCTTTTCTGGGGTAATGGATACAGCAAACCACCATGACACATGTATACCTATGTAACAAACCTGTACATTCTACACATGTACCCAGAACTTAAACTATGATACATTTAAAATAAAAAATAAACCTCTTTTCTTTATAAATTATCCAATCTCAGGTATTCTCTTCTAGCAACACAGAACAAACTAGGACACTCTCTGAAGCCTGTTTTTCTCCTGGATAACGCAGAGGAAGAGACTAATAATGAAAGCGAATCGTCATTGTTAGGCACCCTGTTAAGCACTTTACTCCTTATTTTAATCCCAACTGCTCTATTACCATCCCCATTTTACAAGTGAGCAGACTGAGGTGCAGAGAGGTTAAGAAACGTGCACAAGAGCACTCAGCTGGCAAGTGGTGGTGCCTGCATTTGAAACTTACCTTGCCCCACTCCCAAGCCCTTTCTCAAGGCTTGAATTCTCAAACTCCCAACCCCATCAGTTTATCCAGTGGGTTCCATGGAGCAGTATTTCCATGGAATATTCTAGAAAAAGTGACTCTGGTTAAAAAGAAAAAACCCAGCTTGTGAAGCACTGCACATAGCCCTTAAAGAACCACATTGCACATTATGGTAAAGGCTTGAAAAGCCTGTTTAGCTTTGCTTATTTCAGTATTTTCCAAACTTGAGGAAAAAAAAATGACATCATGTTCTACAAAACCCACTTTGGGAACCATACCCCGTGCCAGGAAGAATAACAAGACCTGCCTTGCTCACTCCACAAAATTGCTGGGGTGATTAAACACGACAGCAGATATGACTGCTTAGAAAAAACTCTAAAGCATGATCCTGGCATAAGGTATTCTTACTAAGCGACAATGGACTAAACCCTTTGCATCTTGCCGAGAGGATGGATCAGAGCTTCCGAAGCACGACTGCTGTTGCCTGGTCGAAGCTGAGCAGCCAATCTTAATGTTAAGCTTGGCAGGGAGATGAAAAAGATTCACGTCTTGGAGATTTGGAAAGATGAAAGTGGAGAGGAGATTGGATCTTAATCTACAAAAGCAAGAAATAAGAGGCTGAAAGTGACCTTGCCTGCCAAACTCTATAGCAGCAGATCCTAAAGCCTGGTCTACCTAGGAAGACCAAACAGTTTCATCTATTTCCAGAGTATGTGATAAATTTATGGAATGCCACCTGGGGTGAAAAACAGCAATGTTGTTCATTACAAAACTATATCTATGCTTCTATTATGTAATCCTATTTATAAATAAATAACATCATCGACTGAGTATGGGTTAGCTCCCAGGTGCTGTGCAAAGCCCTTCATGTACAGGGTCTCTTTGGGACCTCATGATAACCTCATGAGTAGGTGGGATTAGTCCCATTCTGCGGATGGAGAAACTAAGGGTTAAACATATGGAGTAGCCTACAGGAAATCACAGGTGAGAAGTAGACTGGTTTTAAACCAGGTCTAACTCCAAAGTCTATGCTTGGACTACATCATCTCCCTACTGAAGAAATATGGGTTCAAAGTAGGTCACTCAGGCAATCTAGAAATGTATGAGACATGGTATTCAGAAATATTTCTTTGGAAGTGGCCAAGTGTCACATAAAGGCTTCTTGTTTGAAACTACAGGGCATATTGTTGGAAGTCATCCAGGCATTCTGGTAGCTTCTTGGAGGTACACAATAACCCAGGATTTCTAATTCTGAAACCCACCTTGTGGGGTGGCAGGACCAGTATTTCCCTCAAGCCACACACAGGAAATCAAGATCCAGAGGGAAGTACCTGAGATTACCCAGCCAGTTACTTGGAAAGATAAAACTGTGCACCAGAAATATTTTAGATGCTGACCCAATGCTTTTTTCTGTGTGTGGTACAGAAAATAACACAGAAAATGAAAGTTACCTGCACTTCCCCACTCTGAAAACACCATCATTATTAACGTCTTAGTTCACTGTCTTTTAAAAAATTCTTTTCTCCTATGTAGTTGTGCCTGTGCATACATATTCTCCCACCCAGTGTCTTCAGCAGGGACAGGAGTGCCCTTGAAGACACCCTCGTCTGGACAGAATTCCTAGGCCCTTGTCCCAGCCTCTGCTTTTACATGGTTCCTTCTCTATCGTATGAATCTCATGTTCATTGGATTTTCTTTATAGGAGAGGAGCCATTTTTTATAAGTTGCTACCACAAGAGAAAATGTTTACACGATAATAGTAAATGAATGAAGTTGAATGCAACACCACACATTTAACTTAAACCGAACTGTATATGAAATTCACAGAC